CAAATTAGTTGATAGTTGAACGGGGGACGTGTGCACCATCCCTTTACCGTAATGGTTAATTGGCATATGCAACACGTCCACCTCTATCTTGAGCCAGATGGGCCACACAGGCGCCTCGCACCATACACCGAAATCCAGCGACCAGGCCATGCAGGTGGCAGTCCAAAAGACCAAAGAAGTCCCCAGAAGCATGTTCACACCAACCGCCCGGGCCTAGTATTTATTGAGTCAAAGTTCAACAAATATATGGCCAGACAAGGGCTCAAAATAAAATAAAATAGATAAATAAGGGTACATTTGTAGTTTTGACAAAGCATAGAATTACAAAGGTGCAAGTGCCAGTTTTGAATAAATACTATAATCACATAGCATAATTAGAACAAAAACACTTACAGATAGCGATAACAATAGAAAAACCAAAGGAGTAAACACCACTACAAAACTACTACCTGCTAACATACTACAATAACTACAATACTACAAAACTACTACTAGAATACTTACAAACATTACTACAAGCTGATACAATGCCAAATATTACAAAACTGCTACTGCTGCTATATACTAGGATAATATGCTGATAGTGATATCGGCTATGATTTAATATGATGGAGATTCAATAAATTTAGTGTACAAACAAGGATACTCATAATACATAGCATAAAATCCAACAAAAAAAAACATTATACAACTATATAAATATATATACAATATATATATATATATACACACACATATATATATATATATAATATATTTTCCTAAACAGTATTGATTAATTGATTATATTATCTCCTAAGTTTAATTAAAGTAGAATTATTTTAAAAGCGTGCATCCATACTGGTAAGTTATATTTTGAAAGATGTTTTGAAGTAATTTGAAAGCAAAATGTTAATAATGTTTTAACGGGGACTGGAGTTAAATCATCATGAAGAATAAAATTTCAATTGTAAAAGGAAAAATTAAAACATGTAATCATTGTCATTGATCGGAAATTAGTTGACTTTTCAAGGGGAACAAACCAACTCCCGTTCAATGAACAATAATTGATAAAAATACGTAAATACGAAAGTGTTTCGTCTTTACTCGAGTTATAAGTTAAAGGCAAACCGGCAATTCTAGTCAGGCCAAATATTTCCGCGAATAGAAGGAATTATGAACCAATGCTGATATTCAAAGAACTTATTCTTATGAAGCATTTTAGTCAATTCAATTTGGAGTAAAAATCAATTACTGTAGAGAAATCTTGTAAAACTCGAGTAATCGTCCCCGACACTTTCATGTTTATGCATTTGAGTACCATATTATTTGTAGAAATTAAACATTGGAAATTGTCATTATGAAATCGAATTCAAAGTAAAGTTGAAATAAACATAGAAGATTATAAAAAAAGATAAATAATGCAAAATTTGTAAAAACAAATCAAAGACAATATAAAAATAATATAAAAAATAATATAGAAAATAATATATAATAAGAACAGTGAATGTACAGGAAGATATAAAGGCCAGAAAAGGTATTAAGTAACTTACATTCTTTCTAGTGGGGGAGTTGGCAAAGTGTTCTCTTCGTGTCTGACTCAGAAGTGTAGGGTGTCCGAAAATTCTTAACGGCAGTAGGGGCTTTGAATAATATCAGTCGGTAAAACGTTGATTTATGGTAGTGGGTGGGACTTGGAATTCTTGAGGGATTTTCGGAGACACCCTGAGAGACACCATTCTGAAGTTTTTTTGAGACAAAAGAATGAACACTTTGGCCAACGTCCCCAACTTAAGAAAGGAAAAAAGCATTTTCACTGTCCAAGAGCTAATAGACAGTTACTTAATACCTTTTCTGGCCTTTATATCTTCATGTACATTCACTGATCTTATTTATATTATTTTCTATATTATTTTTTATATTATTTTTATATTGTCTTTGATTTGTTTTTACAAATTTTGCATTATTTATCTTTTTTTATAATCTTCTATGTTTATTTCAACTTTACTTTGAATTCGATTTCATAATGACAATTTCCAATGTTTAATTTCTACAAATAATATAGTACTCAAATGCATAAACATCAAAGTGTCGGGGACGATTACTCGAGTTAAATAGGATTTCTCTACAGTAATTGATTTTTACTCCAAATTGAATTGACTAAAATGCTTCATAAGAATAAGTTCTTTCAATATCAGCATTGGTTCATAATTCCTTCTATTCGCGGAAATATTTGGCCTGACTAGAATTGCCGGTTTGGCTTTAACTTATAACTCGAGTAAAGACGAAACACTTTCGTATTTACGTATTTTATCAATTATTGTTCATTGAACGGGAGTTGGTTTGTTCCCTTGAAAAGTCAACTAATTTCCAATCAATGACAATAATTACATGTTTTAATTTTTCCTTTTACAATTGAATATTTTCTTCATGATGATTTAACTCCAGTCCCCGTTAAAACATTATTAACATTTTGCTTTCACAATTACTTCAAAACATCTTTCAAAATATAACTTATCAGTATGGATGCACGCTTTTAAAATAATTCTACTTTAATTAAACTTAGGAGATAATATAATCAATTAATCAATACTGTTTAGGAAATAAATTATTATTAACTAACTTTGCAGCAATTGCGCAAGTAATAATAACTTGTATTCGCACTAAGGATTTAAGTTCATACAACATTATATATATCTATATATGTATATATATATATATATATATACATCCACATATGTATACACACATATACACACATACACATACATACATATACAGATATATACCAATACAAGGTAAAACGATACTAATGATTCTGTACGAGATGCAAGACAAGATAGATAATTCAATATAAGATCAATAAGCCATATTGTTCAATACAATAGTTAATGCAAAGTTAATAAAACACTATTTATATTACTATACCAACTGTATATTTCCTATATTAGTGCAATTTTATACGATGACGCATATCTATACGATGCTCACAATTTAATATATATACACAGTACTGTATTGCAGGGAACTTATAATTCAATTTTATACAAGATGATACATATCTATACTATGCTCACAATTTAATGTATATATTATATAATACAGTACAATATGATTTACAACTAATACGTAAGATAATGGATGCTATATCATTCAATTACAAAAGTTAATGCAAAATTAATGATACATTATTTATATTACGATACCAACTACACATTTCCTGTATTGCAGGGGACTTATAGTGCAATTTTATTATGTATACGATGCTCACAACATTGCAATTTCATATAAGATGATACATATCCATACGAAGCTCACAATTTAATATATATATATATATACATATTATATATATATATTATACAATACGGTTATACGATATAATATAATGTACTGCAAATACGTAAGATATGTGATACATAGGTAAATTAACATGCTTACAGGGTTTTTAATATCATACAATACTTAGTATACAAGACACAAAACAATAGGTACAATACAATACTAAGAGTAATAAATAGAGTATAGAGTATAGACAAATGCAATGTAGAAAAATAGTAGTAACAAATGCAATGTAGAAAATGTAGAAAAATACATATTGTCAAGTAATTGGTAATAATTGTATGCAATATGCAATACAAGACATATGATACAGTATAAAATCGATAAGCTACGTCTATGATACTATTTATAATTTAATGGAATATTTAATGCAAAATGAGACCAAAATACTACTTTAACTTTCATACAGTATTTTAACACAATTGCTAGTTCAGTAAAATAATTAATACAATATTTAATTCAGTACGTATCTCAGGGTATAAAAAGAAGTGCATTATATATATTCTTAATAGTATGATGCCTATAAGGCAATGTTCTTAATAACTAAAGCGAATTAAATGCAATACTTTGTATACAATACACAAGAGCAACACTTCAGCACAATACTGAGGATAAAAAAAACATATTTTGCAACAATATAAATATACCAATGCAATGTATAAAAATACCTATTATCAATTCAATATTAATAATTCTGTGCAATATGCAATACAATGCAACAATATAGTTATACCAATATGATGTATAAAAATACTTATGATCAATTCAATATTAATAATTCTGTGCAATATGAAATACACGAAATATAATTCAATATAAGATCAATAAACTAAATCTAAAATTCTGCATGTAATTCAATAAAATAGTTAATGCCAAGTTGAATCAAGACTACTTATAACGTTATGCTAATAATCTAGCTAATAATCCAGTTCCTGTATTGCAAAGAATTTAATTTACAGTTCCATACTAAAGCATACCTAGCGATACGATGTTCATAATTTCAATATGTTGCATCACATATTCTTAGGGTAGAGCTTATAACTCAACATAATATTACATAACTACCAACTCAAAACTCAATACAATAATTAATGCATGAATTAAAATAATAAGTAAATTAAGTTAATAGACTAGTTAGAATATAATGCAGTACTTAGGGTGCAAATATTGTATATTGTAATTATAATGAAATATAATACAATGCTAATAGTTCGATACAATAGTTATTACAGTGCTCGATACAATATTTTTGATATATAACCAGATTAGAATACTTAATATGTAGCTTGTAATTCAGTAAGATAGTAATACCATATCTATAGTTTGAGATTGCGAGTATAATACTTATTGTGCAATATCTTATAGTGCATTTAAAATACAATACAATTTGTAATAATATTTGTAACAATACTGGGCCTATTAAAAAAAAGAATATAGTTATAATATGTAAATAGACAAGAATGCAACTGGAGTGTACAAAAATACAATTGTATTATGAAAACACTATGTAAACAGACAAGAATGCAACTGGAGTGTACAAGAATACAGTTGTATTATGAAAACAGGACAAAACCATTAACATTAGACAACCTGACATAGATCAGATCCATAACTGTGGAGAATGTCCATAATTTTTGAGAGTTTTCTGATAAGGTACTTCTGCTTAATTAAAAATTTACTAAATGCTAGTTGATTATCCACAGGGAAAGGAATGTGAAATTCCTCCGTTAACGGGCATGTAGTAATATAATGTTCAGGTATGCCTAGAGTTCCGCAGACACAATATTCACTATTTGCAATTCCATGCTTGTAAAAGTAGCTTGGAAATGGACCATGCCCCGAGATATATCTTACTAGTTGATGATTTGTTATCTGACGACATTGATCCACATACGTAATATGATTGTACGTTCGTCGACCGGTTTCATCAGTATCCCATTCTAGTTGCCATTGGGATATAACTTTTAAAAGAAGAGCTCGTTTTAAGTGAGATGTTGGCCACTTAAGAATCACTTCTTCAGCCTCGGCATCGGTATTTTCGGCAGCTGATTTGGCTAACTTATCTGCCAAAGTATTACCGTGATCCCCAGCATGGCCCTTAGTCCAAGCTAGCGTGATGTTATTTCCCACTTGATTACGAAGTTCACATTGGATGTCCGAGATAAGCGAAGAAGAATGTCTGGGGTTTTGAATCGCTTGAAGCGACGAAAGACTATCAGTGATAATTATTGCCTCCATAGCACCACTTGTTTTACAGTGTTGAACTGCTTTGAGGATGGCTAGGGCCTCCGCTTGAAATACACTATTATTTCCATGGAGATGACCCAGCCACTGATAAATTGACTACTGACCATTATGAAAGGCTACAAGGGCACAGCCTGTCTGTTGATCTATTTTAGATCCATCAGTGTAATATTGAATGCTTGGGATAGGTGGCAGTGTTACGTCCTTAAGGAAAATCCGAAGTCCTGTTCCTTGAAGGACTGGATGCACATCCAAATGTTGTGAGGGTTGTTCATAGTGCAATGGTGTGAAAAGTTCATCAAATAGGATGAAAGGTTTTTTTCAAAACCTTGACGGATTGTATTGCTGCTTCCTGCAGAATACGTAGATGAAGAGGGATCAGTCCCGCCATGACATTTAATGCACTGGATGAGGTAGTACGAAACGCCCTAGTTATCTGTAAGGCAAATTGACGCTGGAGACTTTGCAAGTGGCGCACTTTGCGACCCTGCATGGGTTCAGCCCATATAGCAGCCGCATAGGTGACCATTCTCTCTCTCGATAACGGTGAGATAAAGAACCTTTTGTATATAGGGACTAATTCCCCATCCACCACGACCCTGCATTTGACGCAATTTACATGCAATTATAACAGTTCGTCTCTTTAGTTCCAAAACATGCGGCATCCAGTTCAGTTTCTCGTCAAAGATAACGCCGAGAAACTTGAGCTGCGGTTTGATAGGTATACGTGTACCATGAATGGTGATTCGAGGCCGTCGAACCAAAGATCCTCCTTTTTTAGGGATTAATAAAATTTGCGATTTTGGTTCGGAAACTGTTAATTTAATTCTAAGACATAAGTTATAAAAGAGATCACAGGTTTCAATAGCATTTCTTTGCAACTCTTCTCGAGTTCGTCCTTGAATGATAAAAACTGTATCATCTGTATACGCATATGCCCGGGTATGTGGCATGTGCTGGCCAGTTTGCGGCAATAACAGAATTAAATGTTATATTCCATAAATCAGGGTCAGCACAAGAACCCTGCGGACAGCCTCTGTTTAGTTGTCTTGTAATAATGCCATGATTAGTGGAGTAGATAATTTTTCTTTCCGACAAGTAACTTTGAAATGCAAGAAATAAATTCTGAGGACAATCAGCTTTTCGAAGTGCCTCCAGTATTGCAGACCACCACAGTGAGTCAAAAGCATTCTTAAGATCTATACTGATGAAAGCACTGTGGTGACCATTGTTGCGATTACGATGTATATCTTCTGTAATTTTTGATAATACTTGTAGGGTAGACCTACCTGGTCTAAAGCCATATTGGTGATCACTTAAAAAGTGAATTTTGTGAAGATAATGTTTTAAACGGTAGACAATAATTCTTTCATAAACTTTCCCCAGAGCAGATAATAGACATATAGGTCGATAAGATGTGGATAATTGCGGATCTTTGCCTTTCTTGAGGAAAAGAACCACTCTTCCAGCTTTGAAGATACGAGGAAATACACCGTTAAGAAATAACTTATTAAAATAATCACAGAAGAAGATGTGGAAATTAATGATTACACGAATTATAGAATAGTCAATCCCGTCGGGGCCTGGGGCCCGTTTTTTTTTGGAATATTTCGAAGAGTGGTTTTAATTTCTGTAATTGTAATCTGTGGATCATCCTCTGTGTTAGGAATAGAAGTTTGCTGCCTAATTGACAAGTGCTCTGGGGATTCATCTGTAATATCATCCTGAGGAAGAACTGATGCTAGAATATCATTAATAGTATTTTCTATTGGGCTAGACCCAGCAAGTGATGATTCTGGAAGATACGTTGATGCAGGCTGGAAAAGCTTATCTCGAGCGATCTTATAGGGTAAGCCAAATATTTCTCTATTTGATGTGCAGTATTTTTTCCAAGCTTCTATTTTGCTCTGCATAATCATCCGTTTATACAGAGCACGCTCTCTTTGAATGGAAGAAGAGAATCACAAATGCAAATTTTTCTGATTTTCAAACTGTGGAGTATGCTAATTTTGAGTTCGACGTCAAAAACGTCGCTTCAGCGGCAGCGAATGAAATTTGACTGTCAACTGAATAAAAGACAATGAAGACAAGGATGATCGGCATTCAGTGACTGCTTTGTTTCGATGAGTACGATGTCTCAGCGAAGTCATTTAACCGATTCAGAAGCTTGGAGAGTTGTTGGTAGGTTAGAAGGGGGCCAAGTTCAAGCCGAAGTAGCGCAAGCCATTGGAGTGTCACAAAATGTGATTTCCAGGATCTGGAACCGTTTTTTGGAAACTGGGAGTGCAGGCCGAAGACCAAGGCAAGGTCGTAGATGAGCAACAGCGCCCAAAGAAGTTCGTTATTTAGTGTTAATGGCTCGGAGACACTGAAGTATGAATGCTATTCTTCTCCAACAACAATTTCGCTCGGCTACTGGCACCACGGTTTCAACTCAGACTGTCCGAAACCGGCTCAATGGTGTAGGTCTGTATGCTTGCCGACGATTGTATGTGTTAGACTAACATAAAGGCATCGTCGCAACCGCAGGGAGTGGGAAACAGAGCATGTGAACTGGAGGAGAAATGAATGGAGCAATGTTCTTTTTTCTGACGAGTTCCGTTTTTGTTCAATCCTGATAAATAGGCTTATTTTCATCTGGAGGAACCGTGGCAGTAGGAATAATCCTGCGTTCGTGCACGAAAGTGTCAGATTTGGCGGTGGGGGAGTGTTGGTGTATGGTGGCATCTTCATTGACGAGCGCACAAATCTCTATCATTCGAGATGGACCTCTGACTGGTCGCCGATATAGGGATGAGATCCTCAGACCTATTGTAGTCCCTTACGCTGCAGCAATCGGAGATGACTTCATTTTAATGGACGATAACTGCAGGCCACATCCTGTTAACCTGGTGGAGGATTTCCTTTTCGAGGAAGGAATCGTACGAATGGAATGGCCAGCGTGTTCTCCAGACATGAATCTAATAGAGCACATTTAGGACGCTCTAGGAAGACGAGTTGCTGGCCGCCAACCACCCCCACAAACTCTCCAAGAACTGGAAAGAGCTTTTCTGGAAGAGTGGGACAGAATACCCCAACTTATGATTAATAGCCTCATTGACTCCATGCCTCTAAGGTGTTCAACGTTGCTGGCCGTCCGTGGAAACCATACCCCCTACTGAAAATGATTTCCTTTGAAGAAAACATCTTTTTTTATACTATTTTTCTCATATGCACAAACTGTGTTTTTTTCCTTTTGTACACAAATGCGCAATAAAATGCATTTTGTTCTGCCAAACATGTGTAAGTTATACTCATATAACCTACTACGTCTGTCGACCATGTATCAAACAGCTAAAAGGTTTCCCAGCCACAAGATCCATCTAAAACTGCAATATCCTTTAATTGTTTTGAGCAGTGTATTTCATTTACCAGAAAAAGTACACTGCGAAAAAAAGGGGGGAGGGCAGTTTTATATCTCCCGTTCTATTGCGCCGATTGACAAAATTCAAATTGCGTTTTTCATGTCTCGAAAGCGCGACTTAAAATATATATTAGATTTATATATAGCATTGTTCTAACATAGGTAGGCTTGCCAAATTTGAGAAATTTTCAACCGGGACACCGGAAGGCCCGCCCCCCGGCGACGAGAGTATTCAAGGGTACACACCCTTGGCGGTTTCTTAGAGTGTTTTAAAGGATAGTTTATTCTCAATGTTATGAATGAATGGTTACTTAATAGGAACCTAAACCATGGGTAATAATAAATGACACTTGCATATAAATTTAAACATTTTATTTCTTACATGCTAATATAAGTTACTTAAGTAAAAAATACCACTTCAAATGAGAAATAAAAAGTTGAACAATGTTTACATGTACATTTCATTGGCTAGGACTGTTTTTAAAAAGTCTTTTTTGGTTTTAATCTTGGTAACCTTCACAAGCTAATCCGATTTAAATTTTACTCTAAAATTGGACTCTGAATATTGTACTCGCCCGGAAAGCCTCTCCCATCGCGCATGGTCACGTTTGGTGAGACAAGACGATACGATGACAATATTATTTATTGGCAGATCATCACTCTTCTATAGTTTTAATCTTTCATACAGTATACGGACAAAGTAATTATCCTAAATAATACTTCACAGTTAATTATTTTTAGACTTTTTTGGTCATCTAAAAAATCAAATTTAATTTTTACCTGGACGAGAAGTAAACCGGCTGAGACACCGGGATTTTTTCTAGAAACCGGGACTGCCCCTGTCAAACCGGGACGTAACCTAGTTTCCTTTACCGTTCCATTATGCCGAGTCGGAAAAAAAGGTACCCCTTTCCTATCTTTTTACATTGTAGGTGAGCGGGAAAAAAGTCACTTCGTTCTTACTTTCAAAAAATTTTAACAAAATGCGTAAACCACATTTTCGTTATTATCGCTGTCAACAAATATGCCAAATTTCAAAATGCGTTAATATATTAATTCACTTATATCTTCGGAAATTGTAAATAAAAAGCTCTAACATTTTGCCAGGTATGCTTAAAAATACATCTACTTTAACTCTTTAATAAACCGAAGTCTTCGTTAGCCTGTATGCATAAAAATACCGAACCGCCCGAAAACGTATTCGAGAGTCACAGTAATTTCTTTCCCTCCCCATCCATTAACGCACAAAGAAGAGTGAAGATTTCAAATGCTATTCTTTCTACTTCCTAACAAATAAAGATAAGAAACCACAACTAAATATTTTTAGGGCAAGCTGTCAACAATAAAATGATACAATGAATTTGGGGAAACAGCACCTGCTACTGCATACCTTAGGGGAGGGAAGAAAGCAACGTCAGAACTTCGGACGTTTCGGGCGGTTGTGGTCGTTGGAATGAAAGGCCGTCTGGGGCGTTATGGTCTTCAAAGAGTGAAGACGATTGTAAAAATTTTATAGGTTATAATTCAAAATATTTTCAAAAAATTTAGAAAATTTGTTTTAAAATACAAGTTTTTAAAATAAATCTTTAAAAATGGGGGAATTTTATTTTGAATGAACTTAAATTTCGAGCTATGTAAGAAGGAATCAAATAAGTTTAATAAAAACAGATATAATAATGAATACATACGAAACTGAATTAACATTGAAGAGCTAAAATTTGGAGAGCTAATTTTTTAAACACTCCTCGTGCGAGTTTTACAAAGCTTGGTAGTTTGTCGCAATTTGAGTCGTAGAATCGAAATATGGAAAAAATTTAACATGTCATTTCAGAAAAAGTCCGATTTTATGTCAAAATACCTATGTTAAAACAGTGCTATGTATAAATCTAATACATATCCTAAGTCGTGCTTTCCAAACAGGAGAAACGCAAGTTGAATTTGTTCAATAGGCCCAGTAGAACGGGAGATATAGAACTGTCCCTTTTTTTGCGCAATGTACAATAGAACTATGTGATACTTGAAGGAATAAACTGCTTACAAGTCCTTTTTGTATTCGGTACACACCAAACGATTTTCGATTTTCAAAACGTAAGTTATTAAACGTGCTTAACTGACACATTCATATTTTGTATATTCAAATTATTAAAAACAAGTTGTGTATATTTTGGAGACCATTTAGCTTTACAAGTGGCCTGATAGTTTATGATCACCATTTTATTTTTGAACACCATTTAGCATTATCGGTGGTCTGATAAATTGCAACAGCTTTCTTATATCGTCTTCGCTGCGTTTCTAAAAGGGTTAATTAATATCTATTAAAATGCGTTAAACGTATTTTCACTTAATCATAGCTATAGAAAACTTATAGAAATACAGATATGCAGAGCAGAAACTAACGTTCTTTTCTTTCAGTCTGTCCTCCTAAGAATTTTCTGAGTTAATTAAAATACATGAAAATACATATGCTCTTACATTAAATTTACTTTTACTGTGATAGCTTCCCTGTAGAAGAGGAAAAAATACAATAAGCAAACACAACCTTTTTCCTGAAAAGTTAAATGCAGTCGTCTACATCTTCATGTTTAATTTTGCTCTTTTCCGTGGATTTATTGATTCTTATGCTTAAAAGCTCATTTTATGAGAAATGCATTTATTTCTTCAAATATAAAAGTGCATGTTTTTGAATTTATTTAGCTTCTCGAAACTGAGTTCTTTTAAATAATTTTCTTGAAATATTCAATGTATTTTCAAGAAGTGCATCTGCTTTTCTCTCTTTGTATAGGTGTTTCTTCTGCTAAACATTCTTACTTTTTTCGAATGGAGTATTTTATTCTGTTCTCTAAAACTTCAGTCTCTTTATTTATCTGTCATTTCTGTTAGACTTGTGTCTGTATAAATACA